CCCTAACTGCTAAACCCCTAAACCCTAAGGCTCGGTCGTAGCGTTTCGGGTCTCAAAGGGCACACAAAGGAGCCCAGGAAGGCAGGGGGCCTCCGCACAGATGCTCCAAGGGCCGAGATGAAGCCCAACTTACAAGCTGTTGCAAACAGAAGTCTTGAATGACTATATATATATATATACACATATATATGTATCTTTATATCTATAACAGTACATTATGTATGTCTCTATATATATATATATATATATATAAAGTCTGATTGGTTCAACCCCACGTCCTCGACGTCCTAGCTTGCATGGCTTAGTCCGTGAACCCCGGCTGTCAGACCTGCCTTCAAAGCCGGAGCCTTCATTGCTTGGTCCACCCCAGGACCTCCCAGCACACTGCTAGGCTTCAATATCTCTCCCCTCCCTTCCTTCGGTTCGAGCAAGGCCCATAAGAGCCCTCAACCCCCAAAAAACTGTAAGCACCCCTAAGCACCTCAGGCAAGAGAACCCTAAAGTTCCGTAGTCGCCCTTGTAGCGCCTCTTGCAGTACCCTAAACTCTAAACCGAACCCGGAACCCCTAACCCCAAACTCTAAAACCCCAAACCCTAAGCCCTACACCCTAAAACGCTAAACCCTAAACTCTACAACCCCAAACCCGAAGCCCTAAGCAACCCCAGTTTCTACAACCCCAAACCCGAAGCCCAAAGCAATGCCAGTTGTGGCTCGGTCCGGTGGCCGACGGCAGCAGCGGCAAAGGCTCCCGAGGTCGCTCAGAACTGGTCTGTCTATGGCATTTACGGTCCCTTTTGGGGTACCCTAAATGATAGGTGCCGTATTATAATAAGGACCCAAAAAGGGACCATAATTTTGACAACCACCCCCATGGGTGTAGGTTTTAGGGTTTCAGGTTGAGGGTTCAGGTTCAAAATTTTGGGATGCAACACATGCTTAGGCTTCACGGTTTTAGAAAGGTTCTGGACTGCCTGCTTTTGTTTGCATTTTTTGTTATTGCACCTCCAAGGGGTTATGAAAAATGTGTCCTATGGAGACTCGGCGGGTGCTTGGGTATATGGCTCAACATTGAGTATTTGGCAGGGGGGGTTAGGGTTGTGGGCTTAAGTATGAGTTATGATGGGGCTTAGTGAGACCTCTTACTTATCGTGTTTTGCAAATTTCAAGGTTGTGTTAGAGACTTGAAAAGATGCTTATCACGTGGTCATAGGGATTGAACGACCTACGTAGGGCAGCAAGGATACGCCCAGACCCATTTGCGATACACCCAAGGCTCTAAACGGTGATATTACACCCTAAAGTGGAGTAACGACCTTCAACCCAATGCCTGTGGTCCTAAACCCTAAACCCTAAACCCTTTAACCCTAAACCCTAAACCCTAAACCCTAAACCCAACCAGTCAAGGCCCTCTTCTGTCCCCTAAAGCCTTGAATCCTTGAAGCCCCTGAGTCCCCGAGCGAGGCTATCTTCGTCACCTGGACAACGTGAGGGCTCAAGGCGGACCAGCGGGTGGAACACAAACCCTACACGGTCCAGGCTTTTGGGCCCTTGGAGCTCGACTTGAACTCTGGGTTCTTGTCCGGGCCTGTTAAGGAATTAAGTTTGAGAAGCCATCTTCGGGAATCTAGAATCCATAACATGGTTTCCTTTCTTCGCAACGTTACTCAAATTCCTTAGGAAGAACCTGAACCCTAAACCCTAGATCCTAAACCCCAAACACCCTAAACCCCAAACACCCTCACCCCTAAACCCTAAAAACCCTAAACCCTAAACACCCTAACCCCTAAACCCTAAACACCCTAACCTCTAGACCCTAAGCACCGTAACCCCTAAACCCTAAACGCTCTAACCCCTAAACCCTAAACACCCGAACCCTCAACCCTAAACACCCTAAGCCCTAAACCCTAAACGCCCTAAACCCTCAACCCTAAACGCCCTAAACCCTCAACCCTAAACCTCAGTCTTTTCTTGAGGCTTTTGGGGCCTGTGGACTCCTGTACCCCTCGCAGCCAAGACCCAGCTCTGAACCTTGGACCCCAAGCCCTGATCCATCCTAACATTCGAACCCCTATAAGCATGAAAGCCGTCACTTCTCTTGGATACATATATGTAGATACAGACATATGTATGTATGTATGTATGTATGTATGTATGTATGTATGTATGTATGTTTGCATAAATATATGTATACATGTATACATGTATGTACGACCTACATATTATTGTATATATATATATATGTATGTGTATATATATATATTATTTGTTTATTATGAGATATGTATGTAAATGTTGCGGTGTGATGCGGTGTGTGTGTGTGTGCGCGCGCGAGCGTGTGTGGATTTATACACCCCATAAGCCCTGCACCCGAAGACCGAAACAACCCTAAACCGAAGCCCAAACCTGTGCAGGTCATTGCGGGCGGATTCTTACCACCATCCTCTATTTGAGCCTCTACCGAAGTTGTAGCATTTGGGATCTAAGCCTAAACCCTGAGCCCAAATCCCTAAACCTAAGCAGGGCAATCAATAACGAGCAAAGCCTAGATCTTGTATCGTTTACCGCCGCAAAGCAGTAAGTGATTGGAGCAACGCGAAGACCTTAACAAAGGTTGCTTGTACCCTCCGACTTCTTGGCAGGGCCCTAACATAGATCCTAGCAGCCCGAGCGGGTCCAAGTTAAGCATATCTGGGACCATCTCACTCAGCAGAAGTAGGCACCAGTAGCTCACGGAAAAGTGGTACTTTGCAATTGCCTCTGCAAGAGCAATATACTGGCCTACATTTATCTACCAATACTATTCTGGGGGGGGGCTCCTTATAGTAAGTGTAGTATAATATCCCCCCCGAACCTTATTCTGAGGTTTAAGGCCCCTGTAGTAGTCAAGTTGCGAGGATCCTTGCGTCCGAAGTTGAGGCGCTTGCATTCAAACCGTTTCGTCAGATATTGCGGACTACATCAGCGGAGAGTCGAGCGCAGAAAAAGGGGTTTTGGGGGTTTCCTTTTAGTAGACAGGGATTGCAGGAGCTCTTCATGATTGAATTAGGGCAGCTGAAGACTTAAGATATTCAGCTTGGGCATGCGGGGGTAATCATCATACTTATGGTTATGAGATGGGGCGTCATGTTTTCAGAGTCTGAAGCCGTGCATTCTTTCATGAGTTCTCGTTGATAATTCAGAGGTTTCACGAGCCTCGGCTTCAACGTTTTCGGCTCGTGCTGGTTTTCTGAGTCAAGGACTTCTTGGAGCCCCTGTTTGTACCGTTTCAGCTGGAGCCTAGACCCTAAGCCCTAAGCCCTAAACCCTAAACCCTAAACCCTAAACCGAAACCCTAAGCCCTAGACCCTTGTTACAAGAACTTCAGAAGGAAGTTCGGCCTGGCCCAGAACAGTCCCACAAAAAAGGGAGAGGGTCTGACTCACAAGTGATCCTTCGTAACGGTTTAGGGGTTTGGGTGTAGGGTAAACCTGCAAAGAGAGTGGGTCTGGCTCAGGGAACCGAATCGGCCGACCTTTGGTGGCGTTTGGTTCAAGCTGAACCCGCGGATTATTCAACCACCAATCCTCAGATTCAGGGCTTAGGGCTTAGTGCATTGCAGTCCCTGCTCAAAAAAGAGGGTGTTCCAAGACCCAAGACACTCGGCACCCTGAACCCAGCTACCACCGTGGTACCGGCAGACTGGCCTTCAATAGGCCTGCGTGCCAGCGGGCAAAGAATTGATTTTGGGTTTAGGGTTTAGGGTTGCAGCACTCGAAAACAACATTCAAACACAGGCTATAGGCCCTAAAATCATGGAACCTGTCAAGTGAGTCCTCGGACAACCCATGCGGGAGCCCCCAAAAAGACCTGAAGCCGCATTTCCTGAACATTACAAACCCAAAAGCCTGAAGCTGCCCGAAGCTGCCCTAAACCCTGAAAAAAAATCGTAAAGCCCGAATTCAACCCTAAACTCTTAAACATAAAAACTGTAAAGCCCTAACGCCCAAGAGCTCCAGAGAGCCCTATGTTTCAAGAGACCAAGGAACGAGGACTGGGGTTCAGACCTCGGAGGTTCGATCCGCCTCTTTGAGGCCGGCCGTGGGTTAGCACTCCGTAGCTTTAGGGTTACGGGTTTAGGCCCTAACCCTAAACTCTACATGTAAAGAGTTAAGGGTTTAGGGTTTAGGGTCTACTGCTGCTACTACTACTACGACGACTACTGCTGCTGCTGCTGCTGCTGCTGCTGCTTCTACTACACATCGACAAACTAGAACCTTTATTTTCCGAAATCTTGACGGTCTTGCAACCTTGCTCAGGGGGGGCAAGATTGCCAAGCAATCTTGGTTATCTTGACCCTGCCCCAGTTGCTCGCCGACTAGTTTACCCTTTGGAGACCAAGATTGAAGGATTGCTTGCAATCTTGCCCCCCCCCCC